AGAACCAGGTTTTTCTTTTTAGCATTTATCTAAGATGTAGAAATAACAAAATAGTTGCAATTGAGTGTATGAAATATTTAATAAGAATGTACGAAGATACAACCAAAATAAATTGTGAGAAAGGATCAAAGATTTTCACCTTTCAACAATCATTTTTTCAAAAATAAAAATACTCAGTCTCCAATTGGGAAAATAATCTACAGTTAAAATAAGATGCCCAAAATAGTTCTGAAGTGTTCACACTCTGTCTTTGGAATGAGAAATGATTACTTAACAAAGAACATCACATATAAACATACTGCTTTTTGAGGCAGTAGCTATCTGTCAAACAAATTGTGTTTGTGAGTTATCAAGTGATTCACAATGCAGCCACTTTTCAAAGTCTGCATAACCCTTTCCCTGAATAAAACCCCCACACTCTCTCTCCTCCAAGACTATAGTAGAGAACAGGCTTTCCAAACTGCACACAAGAGACTGTTGCCACTCTTAACTCTAAAATTACACGACGAAACTGTACTCAGTGTACCACTCCCTTAGACCACAAAAAGGCACTCCATATAGACATACATACATACGTGTGTGCATGTGTGCATACATGTATATACACATATATACATATATGTATATATAATGTATGTGAGAAATGCTTCTTTTAAAAAGTAAATGCAGACTTCTCAATGTTGTTCAAACCAAAGCTATGTTATATGAAAGATACTATTTATTTCCTGTTATTATTCATCAATCTCCAATTCTGTATATTATGTGAAATGTGAAACAGCTTTCAAGCAATTTAAATTTAGAAAAAGAGCCGTGTCAGTGAATAAGATGTGATAAACCAAATGCTTTTAAGGGAAAGGACATTTAGCCAACCAAAGATTCCCATCCTAGTGTCCTGACTGCCAAAAGGAAAGAATATGAAAATGCACGGAGTGACCGCAATTCTCTCTTCTGACAGCTGTACGTAGACGCTGCATAAAGAATTTTTGTGAACAGGCTCATGATCAAACAACTACACCAAAAAGCCTCCAAATTAACAGAATTAAACACACATCAACCTATGATCCAACTTAGGGATCTTTTAGTCTACAGTACTACTGCTAACAAAACTACTACTTCCAATTTCAGTTTTATATTCCAAGAGAGAATGCTCTTCCTATGGATTCCTTTGTTCCAAAATTCACATAAAGTGGGACAAAAACAATTTGCTAAATTAGTCCATCACAGTAAAGGATTTCAAATCAAACACCTAAACACTGATTACCAAGAGGTTTCTGATTTTCACTGTCATCCAAACAATTTGAACAAATTTTAAACTTACTAAACTAAATAAAACTTGGCAGTCAAACCAAATAAGGTCAGTAGAGAACTCCATAGTTTATTTTTATGGTAAAAGTCATTTCACACAATCATAAGTGTGACATAAGAAACCAAAGTTCAGGGTTATTTAGCACAAACCACAAGTGTGGAGTTTTTATATTAGAAATTAATTAAAAACTAACAAAATAGTGTACTTATTACAAGTGAGTCAATTAGGCAAATAAAGTGGCAACACTGAAGCAGGACTGTCTATAGAGCGAGACCCCTCAAGAAGCAATAAAGGTACATACAATGAATCCGGATACAGAGACTTTATTCAATTTTAAAAGCAAATGAAGGTTCCAGACAAAGCTTTGACCCTATAACAAAGCAAGTATGTCCAACTTTAAATCAAATTGCAAAAGTAGCCAACTTCTATTTGTCAGCACTGGCACGAGCACCCTCCACAAGCCTACCCACGTTTCTATTTTCTTCATCCATGTGGTATAAAAGAAAACCAATCTAGATTCCTTGATAAGCTTTATATGATCAAGTATTACAAATAGTCTCTACTGTATGCCAAAATTATTTTTGTGTTCTCTCCAGATAGCTTTACTGTAACAAATGGCAATGTTTATTCTGTGAGTTGTAAACAGCCAACCAATGTTCTGTATTATAGAAACCAATCTACCTGCAATTGAACAACCCACAGGTTCTAACCTGGAACTACTAGGAAAACAATCTGGATGCATTAGTCACAGCAAAATAAAGATATATCCAATAAGGAAATGATGTGAACGGCTACCCTAAAACGAGTTTTACCTTTCTTGAACCTATAGGCCTATCATTTAAGTCAATGACAGCAGCTGTGGCTTCATCCCGAGATTCAAAGGCCACCATGGCTTCACCTGTAGGCATACCTTTTTCATTGTATTTTAAACATACTGAACCTGGAATTACTTGATAACCATAAAAGAAATCTAATATTTCATCAATAGATACAGTAAAAGGCATGTTCTGCACCTTAATTATTGTAGGTCCTGGTTTTCCAGAGCTAGCTCCAAAACCAGGGGGACCCCCAATATGGATCGGGCCAGGCCCAGCCCCAGGCCCAAAGGCTGGAGGCCCACTCAAATGCCCAGGAACACTTCCAAGACCAGGGGGTCCACTTCCAAAACCAGGAGGAGCATTTAAACTACCTGGGCCATTTCCAAAGTTCTGAGGGATCCCTGCAAATCCTGATGGACCACTTATATTATTTGGTGCACCTCCAAAACCTGGAACTTCCAGTCCTAAGCCAGGCAAACCACTATTTCCAACCGAAGGCAGAACTGGCCTAACATCACCAAAGCCACCTCCTAATCCTGGAGGTGGGAGCGGTGGTCCAAAGGCATTGGGCCCACCAAAATTACCCGGGAAGTTAAACGGTGGCCCATTATTGGCCTCCTTTGATCCTACAGTCAAGAAAACATGCTCTTCTCCTCCTGCACTGGGGATGCCAGCACCAGGTATTGCTGGACCAGGTATTGTGGGACCAGGCATTGCGGGACCAGGCATTGCAGGACCAGGCATTGCAGGTCCAGGCATTGCGGGACCAGGTATTGCGGGACCAGGCATTGCGGGACCAGGCATCGCAGGACCGGGTATTCCGGCACCGGGTATTCCGGTACCAGGTAATCCGGCATTGGGTATTCCAGGACCAGGTATTCCGGGACCGGGTATTCCGGCACCAGGCATTCCAGAGCCGGGCATCCCAGCACCGGGCATTCCAGCAGCAGGCATACCTGCACTAGGCATTCCAGCACCTGGTATTCCAGCACTGGGTATTCCAGCAGTGGGAATTGCAGCAGTGGGTATCCCTGCACTAGGTATCACTGGTACTGCAGGATTACCTGGAACAGGTATCTTTAAGCCCTTTTTTCCTTGGACTGGGGGATTTTTCTCAATCTCTCTCATATCTTCTAGGGTAACTATATGAACAAAAGCTTCTCTCCCATTCAGCTTTTTACGGTGTAAGTGTTCAGATTTATGTGCATCGTCTTCAGTTTTAAATTGAACCAATGCTTGCCCTAGACCTTGCCCATTGTTATCGACAAGAACATGTACAGCATTCTCATCCACCGGAATTCCTTCTAGGAACTGAAGAACATCCATCTTGGTAATGCTGAATGGAATGTTTGTTATATGGGCACAGACTTTGGCAGAACTGACTTCCCCCTCCGGATTTAACACCATTTCCCTCTGGTCATAGCTGAAGTTCTGAAGTCGTTTTCGAATCATATCTATCTTTTCTAGCATACCTTTCTTAGTTATTGGATGAACTTGAATAAAGCGATTGCCCATGTATTGTTTATGACGACAGAGAGCAGCCTTATAGTCAGCATCATTCCTGAATTCTACAAAGCCTTCACCAGTTGCTTTCCCATTGGGTCCATAAGCTATATAAATACTATCTTCCACAATATCCAACTTCTTAAAAAAATCAATGACATGTTTGTTTTCTGCTTCAAATGGTAGCCCTTTCAAGTAAACACAAAAACCAGCCTCATGTGGTGATCTTGATCTTGATCTTTTCTGCCCACTGGGTGATTTTGACCTTGGAAGTGTCTGTGGAGGAGGGTGGGCTTGTCCAGAAGGCCCCATACTTTGCTTAAAAGTGATATGACCTCCAGCAGCTACCCACTGTCTCTCTGTGGCTGGACTGACTTCCACATAGCGTTGTATCATCAGCATTCTGTTCCGTTTCAAAGCTTCAAATGTATCTTGAGGGGAGAGAAACTTAACCAATCCATTCCCATTATTTCGACCTACATGATCTTTTAACAAATGTACTGCATCAACTCGGAGCCCATGGAAAAACTCTCTGACATCATTCTCCATTGCAGAAAAGGGCATTCCATGTACACTCACGTACAGATCATCAGGGTTGATGGGAAGAGACTTCACGTTGCTTTGAGAGTTCATCTGTATAGGGTTAACAGGATTTAATGGACCCAGAAACACAGGGTTCAGATTATTGTTCAGACCCATAGGCGCTCCAGAGCCATTCATTCCAGCAGGAAGAGGTGCCACAGGTGGTGGATTCAAGGGTGGCATGCCTGACATGGGAGGCAATGTAGTCAGAGGTGGCACAGAAGGGACTGGGGGAATGGGAGGAACAGGTGGCACGGGAGGCAATGTTGGTACCGGAGGAGGAACTGGTATTGGGGGAATGGATGGCAGCGGTGGCAAAGAGGGCATCGCTGGGATTGGAGGAATTGGTGGTGGTGGGACTGTGTTCATTGGAGAAGCTGAACTCGGAACGGTTGAGCTGAATGTTGGACTCCCAAAAGAAGTCCCCATACTTGGAGGAGCAGTTCCTACGCTGGCTGTGGAAAATGTCTGTATGTTTTTGTTGCTCTCATGAACAGAAGTGGTAGCAGTTACTACACTTGGCGAAGGATTATTAAAGTTGGGTACTGTTGCTGGCAAGTTTACCCTGCTGCTCATCCCTGAGCTAGGTGGTGGTCCTGATCTACTAGCATTTGCTGGTGGTATATCTAAGTTGGCAGTTTCAAAACGCCTACGACTCAGTTCAATCATATTCTGCATTTCTGTTTTACTACTCAATAATAGTGTTACTTTTGACCCTTTAATTGTACCACCTGTGCGCATCATACCAAGCCTTGCATCTTCATCAGTGGCAAAAACGATGAAAGCCTCACCCAGTTCACCCCCTACAATATGCACGCCCCCATCGGGGATGGTCAATCCAGAGAAGAAGTGGCGAATGTCCATGGTCCCCGCCACAATTGGGAGACCTTGCAAACGGATGACCACAGCCATGCTGCGCTGAAACCACACACACCTGCAGATGAGAAAAGGCAACGGCCATGTCAGACTCCTTATTATTTTACCAAGTTTTTAGTTGCAAGAATGACCAGCTACCACATTATCCCACAAACATTCCCGCAAACTATTACAATGTCTTTAATTTAGATAATTCAAAGATCTGAACAATTTCAACGTCTAAAGGCTTTCATTTTGGCAATAGTTAAAAAGAAGTTCAATTTAATACTCAAAAGATCCAGGAAAAACTGAGAACAGTAAAGTCAAAATAAGTACTTAGATTACTAAGCCTTCAGATTTAAAATAAATGTGCAAAAATCTATGGGAAGAATCAGGCAAATGATGCATCAAAATTAATATTTAAAATTGATTTAGAATCTTCTATATAAATTTTATAATTTCATAGTTATCAGTGACATCTTTTAAGGCTCAATCTCAAAAGCCAGAAGAAAGAAACCCGGAATGTTCTGGATTACAAATTCCTAACAATAAAGTAGGTTCATATCTTGAATGGAATCAGGGTATGACTAGCATTTAAATACTGATCCCCAATTCAATCCTTAGCACAAGAAATTTCAAATGATGACAGACTCCATATTTCAGAGTACAGCTTTTCAATACGTTTTATAGTTTTATTAAAAGAAAGAACTGTCTGAGGATGCAGAGATGATTCACTGGGTAAGAACTTGCTGTATGTACAATCATAAGAACATGAGTTCTATTCCCAGCATCCAAGTGTGTATGGCTACATATTTCAGAAACCCTAGCTGGAAGCTCCAGCTGGAAGTCTAATTCCAAGTATAATGAAAGGTACTCAAGATAAGGCACAGAATGATAGAACACCTGACATCCTCTTCCAGCCTTTGCCTATACACAGGCTCACATATGTGATCATGCACACACGCATACACATGCATGTGGGCGCTCTCGTGCGCACTCTCTCTCATTTTCTCTTTCTGGATTTACTATAAGCAAAGTTAACACATACTAAGATTCCAAAGAAACACTAAATAGAATAGCAAAAATCCTAAGTTAACCTATATTTATTGTCCTAAAGTAGAACCTATTACACCACTATTCACCATGGCTATTAGACCAAAACTCTGGTCCAGTGACTCTACTAAATCTTGCTTTAAAAAAAGACAACTAGGGCCAGGCGTGGTAGAATAGCCTTTAATTCCAGGCCAACTTCTCTGAGTTTGAAGTCATTCTGCTCTATAGAACTCCAGGGCAGTGAGGGCTTCATAAGTGAGACTTAGTCTCAAAGAAACAAATGAACAAAATAGGGGTTAGGAACATAGATCAGTTGGTAGAATGTTTGCCTAGCACTCATAAAGCTCACGAATCCATCCCCAATAACACAGATGCTCAGTATGGCAGTGATATAAATTACCCCAGTATTTGAATTGAGGCAAGAGGATCTGGAATTAAAGACCAAGATCACAAATGATACAGATTAATGCATAATACACTATTAGAGCCCTCCAACCTAACTTAACTCCTGTTGAATTGCTGGCTGTTCACTATCTCTTTACAGAGCAAAATCTGTCTCAAAAAAATAAAGGAGGAGAGGAAGAGGGCCTCAGTGAGATAGTTTAACTTCTTAATAAATACTTAAGAGTTCCATCCCTAGGACCCAAACACTGAAGAGAATCCTCTCCCTCCCCCTCTCTCTTTCCCTCTCTCCCTCCCCCTCTCTCTCTCCCCCAACCCCCCCTCACACACAGAGACACACATACCATACAAATAAATAACTATAAAATGACACTGATAATAATAGGGTTCAGCTGGAAAAATGGCTGAGCACCCTCATAGTAGCTCACAACCACTTCTAACTCATTTCCAGATCTAATGCCCTTTCCTGTCCTCCACAGGCACCAAGGCACATATAGTATGTATACATACATACATACATAGCAAACTATTTATATATGTAAAATAAATCAATATTATAACTAATACTAATGGCAGCACTTTGGAGGCAGAGGCAGACAAATCTGGCTATGGGGACATTCACCTTTAATCCCAGCACCCAGGAGGCAGAGGAAAACATATGTCTGTGAGTCTGAGAACAGCCTCCAGGCCAGCTAGAGCTATATAGTGAGACACTGTCTCAAAACACAAAAAGTAGTAACAACATGGGCTGGAAATGTAGCTTAGTTGGTGCTTGCATGGTATCCATGAGGCTCTGAGTTCAATCCCAGCACCTCATAAACTGGGCACGGAGGCATATGCTTATAAATCCTATCACTATTAGTTACAGAATGACCAGTTCAAAGTCATTCTTGGCTACATAACCAATTTAAGACCAGCCTCAGATACATGAGACTATTTTAAAAATATTAAGAGGGCTTGGAGTGATGGTTCAGTGGTTAAGATCACTTGTTTCTAAGTGGACCCAGGTTAAGTTTTCAACATCCATGTAGTGACTCACAACCACCTATTACTCCACTTCCAGGGGCTCCAATACTTTCTTCTGGCCTTGCCAGGTACATACACATACATGTAGACAACCACTCATACACATGAAATCAAAATAAACTAGCTCAGCAGTTAAGAGCTCAGACTGCTCTTCTAGGGAATCTGAGTTCAGTTATAAGCACCATATTAGAGGCTTAAAGTGGCTTTTTAACTCCAGCTCCAGGGGATCTAACTCCTCTGGTTTGCACAAGTACCTGCACTCACATACATATACTCACACAAAGACACGCACACACTCATAATTACATCTTAAAAACAATAATTTTAATATTTTAAGAGAAATCTTAAAGAAGTCTCTCCCAGGTTTGAATTTGATTTCAATATTTCCATTTCTCTGTTTGTTTGTTGTTCCTGTTGCCATTGTAGTACCTGGCAGCATTACCATTTCAATCTTAACTGCTTCTACATTTTTTTGCAAAAAAATGGGAATCAAAATTTGGGGATTGGGAAAATGACAATTTGAAACTAATATGATCAATCAAGTTTTAAATATAAACCTATTAAGCTGGTTCTGAGTGCTCAGGGAAATTTTAATTATTTGAGATTTGGTTTAATAATTTCTCAAATAAGGACATTAGAAGGAACAAGGCTTCCTGCTATAAGCTCTAAGACACAAATAAATGGAAGAAATTCTTCAATGTCAAATACTGTAAGAACTCCAATTTAATATAAAATCTAATATCAACAATATAATTACAATATACAAAATAGAAATATATTGTTTAGTTTTGATAGTTGTTTTGGTTTTCTTTTTTGTTTCTCAACACATAATTCCCCTTATCTTTTGTTTATTTTGAAATATGTTCTTACTATGTAACACTGGAACTCCCTAAGGAGTAGCCTATCCTCCAGAAATCTGCCTGCCTCTGCCTCTGCCTCTTGCTCTTGAGTGCTGGGATTCAAAGGTGTGCACTCGGTAGCCTAAAACAACAACACTCATCTCATTGTTTAGTACACCTGAAAAACTATAACAAACCAAACAGCCAAATTACATATTTAGAATTTTTCCTTCCTACCTCCCTAGCGCTTGGATGTGCTACCCCAGGTCCAATTAATGTTATACTGCAGATTGAATCAGAGCTTTGTGTTTGTTAAGCAAACTCTACCAACTGATTTCATAAGCTTACAATTATATACAAAGACAAACAACCTTCAAATGTAACCAAGAATGATGGATTAATACTAGATATGGAGGTGGGGTGAGTGAATAAAGCTTTCTTAGCTATGGTCTGTAAGACTCAACGGGGGCTGGTGAGAAGGCTCAAGTAACCTGAATTCAATCCCTGGAGTCCACCTGGGAAAAACAACTGGCTTATGCAACCTTCCCTATGACCTCCACAAGTGTGTCACTGCAAAGCTAGTTCGTATAAATAGAAACACACACACACAAAACTACTAAAAAAAAAAAAAAAAAAAACAACAAAGATCATCACCAATAGACCTTCTCAATTTTCTATTTAGCATTGCAATATGGAAGTATATCAGCACATTTACAAGTAACTGAGTCAAATTCACATTCCTTATTGAAGCTGAAACATGTTTATCATGTAAGTAACCAAATCATGATGGCACTATGGTCAACTTCAAAAAATGTTTCATCACTTTCTATGCGAGTAATGTAGGTAAGCCAGGTATTCAAAATCTAAGAATAATTGCATTAGTTTATAACTTACAAAATGAGAACTTAAAATGGTCCCAAGAACACAAGCCTAAATTATATTCATGTAAGTTTCTGTGCCATACTGCTAAGAGACTTACTGAAAGTACCCAGTGAATGAAAACATCCCAAATATTAATAACCTAAGATTGCCAGTTAGGAAAGGGCTGGATGATTAAATCAAGCAGAGTACAGGATCTACTCTTAAACCCATCTTAAGAAGAAACAGTTGTTAGGTTCCGAAAAATATAAAGAAATATCTATTATTCTGTTACTAAGTACTTGGTTGAAAGCAAATCTTAACCTATTCTGAGTCTAGCTTGGCCCCTCAAACAAAAGGTTAAATTCAACTGCTAAGGTCTAAAATTTGTGCTGTACAAACTATTACCTAACATCTACAGCTGTATCTCTAGGACTGCAAGTAACCATGCCAGGAAGCATTGGAATCTATCATCCATCATAATGCTATGGGGGATGGCGCGTGAACTCACTACCTAGTAATAAGAAATGTACAGATAAATAAAACACTCTCAGGAAACAACTATTCATCCCACTCTCATCCCTCAGTAAACACACACGCAAACACACACAGAGTTTACTACACCTATTTTCATACTGCTTAAGGTATCGCATTTTATTTTGTATAAAAATGAACCTATTCAAAATCTCTTACCTTGTAAAACAAGAGATGTATTTTCTTAAGAAGTAGAGGCCAAGTCAATCCTGTGGGCAACCAATTAAAACCAACTTTTAGACTGCAATAAAGAATAAATGAAGGCAAAAATCAATGCAGGAAACAACACGCACAGGCCACACTGAACTGTACATTATGAAGAAGAGTCTGAAACCAG